GTATATAATATTTCTTCCCTAAAAACTTCTTTTATCCTTCGTTTTTTACCTTTCCCTTGCTTTTCGATATTATACTTTTCGTGTGTGTATATATATATATATATATATATATATATATGTATATAATATTTCTTCCCTTTTTTCAAAATACTTTTCCCAAAGCGTCGACAGCAGCTCGCTTCGCGGGCTGCCGGCCGTCTGACAGTCACCACGGTTCGCTTGGATTGCTTTCACGCAGAATTCCCCCACCACCTCACTCGCCATATTCTCAGCCAATCCCACCACTCCGATTGCGCAGCTTCCATTGGATCAAATCCTGGGATTCCCCCACTACGCTCGCAGTCTCTACCACCCTAGTCCTCCTAGCTTTAACCCCTTGGACTAAGGGGGTATCGTCTCCCGGTGTATATGATCTCTTACCTGGACCAAATACACATCGCGATGCTATGTACCTTTACCCTCAAAAGTGTATTATAGGGATTTTTCATAGTTGCCCGAAAATACCCTGGATTAGTTTGTAGCCCGTACCAGGAATCGCATAATGCATAGGATCAGACGGGCTTTATTATTATTATTTGACACTGGAAGAACAAAAAAAGTTTCGAATCGAACGATCGAATCGAATATTCGATATAGAATTTTTAATACACGACAATATAAATAATAATAATTATCGTAGACGATTATTATTTTTCTTAATTTATTACAAGGGTAGTTTTCAATTTTCAAACACCCCTCGAGACTAATGGGTGATAAGAGAGTTGGATGCGGAGAACGTGAGAAAATTGTTGAGAATATTGGGTTGAGATGTCCTTTCTTTTTTAATGGGGTGAATTGTATTGGGGGTTGAAATTCGTGGTAATTTAATAATAATAATAATAATAATGTCTGTAGGGGGGGTGTACCGTATCAATGATTGGTACGTGAGATGCTGCGGGGACTGGGGATAAAAGAGAGACTGCCAATCGAACGTGAAGAAATTCCTTGATAAATATGGTCTGGTGACATTTTTCCTTTAAGCCAAGGGTGTCTCAGGGATTCTGAAGAAAACCCTATGGACAGGGGGGG